AGATCCCCTTATATTATTGATTGCTTGATCTTTTCATTCATGGCAAATAATGGAAACATTTTAACTGCATTATGGCTGAATGTCTTTTTTGTTTTGTTCCTGACTGAATTTATTTTCTCGTTTTGTGACCAAAGATAGTGTTATCCGAATTGCTGAGTGATTTGTATGAAACTGAGATGTTTTTGTGTGCGTACGTGTGTCATTTTGGTTGCTGTGGTATTGTAGAAGCAGAACTAAACATAATAATGGAAAATGAATATGGGTCAGTTTGGATGCTGAGCTCATTGTCTGGCCACTAAAGGTGTGAAGACATTTGTAAATAATGGCCTTTGATTGAAAATGTTTAAAAACACTGTCATATACTCCTTTGTCTCCTGTAACTGCTGTACAACTGCATCAATGGACTGCTGTAATTAAAAACATGTCAGATTACTTGCTCAAAATCTCACAACAGACCTGATGAAATATCATCAAAATATCTTTGGGGCATGTGAGTTTGTAACCACAGTTAATCAAGTGCAAGCAATCAGCCATCTGATATAACTGGCTATGTATTTATACTGGCTATGACTGAGATTTAAAAGCAACAAATAAATATCATGCAGTAGTCTTTCTTAATCCCAGAATGCTTCTGAATGGTTTTTACACAGTTTACGTGAGAATTTATCAGTTTTAAGTGAAAGAATGCTGTCATTATCTACACATCCAGTTATTTTGTGTCATTGACCTATTTGTTTTCACTGTTTAACCTATGTGTGTGTTCTCAGATCTCCTCTGTGACAATGCAATTATGTTTGTTTATTGAAAACATTTTCTTTTTCTTTTTGAACGAGTTAAATAAATCCCATTTTCTGTTTTGTGCAGTCCCATTTTTTTGTTTTTTTGTTTAAGTATGACTGAATTCAATGATAATTTGAGTCCCCCTCCAAAACTGTGCTTGTGGGCTTGACTTGTATCTTCCTTATTTGTGATGCTCCTGTAGGCGCTTACAGTAGAACTCAGAACAGGGAGGGAAAGTGATGAAAATTTTGCCTGTTTTGTTTATTTTTTTTCCTCTGCTGTTGCAATGATGTAAAATAATAACAATAATAATAAAAAATGAAACAAATCTCACTGTTACCTTATCTTCTATTAGGAAAAATATGCTGAATTTAAGAAATTTAAGAAGTGTTTAAGAACACTTCATAGGAGACAGGCAAATATTGCCTTAATTGAGCTTTGATTCAATTTCTTTGAACAATTTAACTTTCATTTTGTAATGTTTTGAGAACATACACTACTATTTAAAAGTTTGGTTATACTGTACTTTACTGAAGTTATGTTTCTCATAAGTTTGAAACAAAGACATGCTAAAATGAATTAAAGCCTGCATTTTGTAGACAAATATAAATTGTCTTTACAGTCAAAAATGAAAATAATGTGCTTTTGTATATATGAATTGGAGCAAATCCTAAAGGAAAAGCAGCCAAGTGTCCTCCTTCAATACTGTTGAAAAGCATCAGGTTTGTTTAGATAATGTCATGACCAAGAATGTCCATATTCATAAGGTACGTACGATTAGTTTACTTTGTAATGAACAATAGCATGCACACTTTCAAGAGTGTAATTGAGGATTCACAAATGGTTTGGATTATTTAATCCCATCCAGGCCAAAGCCCCGTTCACACCAAGAACGATAACTATAAAGATAATGATATTAGCGTCCACACCAGCGAACAATATCGTCTGTTTATTCTAAAGCGCACATGCGTCTGCCGCTTTAAATTCTTGAGCTCGTCACAGGAGGATGGATTCTGATTGGCTGTCAGTGTTTTATCGTTCATCAGCTGGGAAAAAAAATCGTTTTGAAAGTGATCACAACGATATCGTTCCTCTGTATCGTTATCGTTATAGTTGTGGTGTGAACTATGCTATTCTTTAATATTGAGAACGATTTTTAGAACTATATCTTTATCGTTATCGTGCTTGGTGTGAACGGGCCTTTAGGGTCTTCACTTTGTACTGCAAAGTGAGATTTAAGTAAAAAAAAAAAAAGGAGATTTAGTTAAGCTTATTTTTCCATGACAATGACAGCTTATGCAGCATGCATTAATGCATTAAAAAAACAGACATTAAAAACTATTCTGGGTTGTATAATTTAAGCAGCTTGTGTCAATTACTAATTGTACAGTACAATAATGAATCTCTACACAATTAGATCTGCAAATTTGCCTAAATCATCATTCGAGGCACATGAAGTTCTGGTTATGTATCTGTGGTAATCAACTGTATACCACAGATGTTTGTGGAATCATAAAGGCTTTAGTTGTACCTGATTTTAATGAAATATTACTTTAATAATAAAGCCTACTATATACCTATGGCAAATTCTTCCACAAAGCTCAATTTGTTGTTTGATAGTTTAGATGGAATTAATTGTTAAAAAGCCTAAAATCAAAAGGATGTCAACACAAGAATTTTGCAGAAATTACACATTTTATTAGATGTTTCACATATTTAGAAATCTATTATATCAATCCCACTGGTAATATCCTTATTCTATAATGTTGTACTGTAACTTAATATATTACCATAATGAACTGGACTTAGAAGAATCAAAATTGTATTCTGACAAACAATCTGCCTCTTTTATTAGTACACTGTGGCATCACCATGGTTACATTCTTTGTATTGTGTAAGTAATAGTGTGTAGTGGATTATATGTACAGAACATTGACTTTGATTCATTTATTCTGCATGAGATCTTCAGTCAAGGTTTGTCTGTCAAGACAGAGACTCACATACGAAATGGGAAGAAAGGTTTTGGATCTATATGAGAGATGAGTAAGAGTAAAATGTCATGCATTATTCATAAAAGGTTAAAAATGAGAATGCAACCTGTTAGATTTTCCTCAAAGAGTACCACAAATTACAGTGAGAAGCAGACACTTTGTAAATGCACACAATTAAGTTACCACAACAAAACTAAATTACACACAAATTATTGAAAAGAAAGGAAAAACTTATCTGGCTTTGCAAGCCATTTGCGTTCTTTACAGAATGAGCATCTGAGCTTATCTGGTGTAGTGAAGTTTGAGTTATTACAGTTATCGTGCATCTGAATATATGAAAAAAGAATGTATGACAATTCACGAGCAAAAAAATCAAATAAAACTCTAAACCTTTTCCCTTCTCAGAATTTTGGGTTATCCAAGAAAATAGCACAATGCTTCCTACAGTATGCGTGCTAAAAATAAACTAGTAATACTCCAAAGTGTAAAGCTAAAATAGCACTTCACATAACTTCACAAAATGTACATCACTGAAAACCATAAGCAAGCTCATATTTGTCATTTTAAGAAATAAGTACATTTTGGATCTTGACAATTAAAAAAACCTTGATTAATTATTTTCTGATATACAGTACCTCGCACCCAAACACCACAGATTACTAACAAATGGCTCCATATATTTTGTTATACAAAAATGTAACCCTTCAAAAAAAGATTAAAGTACTAAGTAAGAACATGCTTTTCACATGAATGAGTATAGTGTGTAAACAGCATACTCAATACATGCAAATGTACTCACATAAAAACACACCACATCCTGATCTGAAATGATTCTCCAACCTTCTATGTTCTATTAGTCCAACAGTGAATGTAAACAAGACTCTGGTACAGTAGAGTAAACTATGAAGATCATGATTGAGTTGGGCCAGACACTTGTTGAAGCTCAGTTGACAGGAAAGGCTGTGCTCTGGAGACCTTATTAACTGAAGAAGAAGAAGAAATCACACATTACCTCATCACAAATATCATTATTATTATTTTTTGTTATACACTGACAAAGTTCTACAGTGTGACTTTTTTAAGGGATAGGTCTGCATCAAAACAAAAACATCCACTAATTGTCACTTTAAGCCTTAAAAATAAAGGTTTTTATCAATTACGCAAAAGTATTGGAAAAAAGGTTCTTTAGTTTATTACAGGGTTAGTTCCCATAAAAATTAAAATTAACTCGTCATTTATTAACTCGTCATTTACTCACCCTGTTGTTGTTTTTTTTAAAGGGGTCATGAACTGCGAAATCAAAATTGCCTTTTGACATATAAGAGGTCATTGTACTATAAAAACATCCTTTAAGTTTCAGAACGCAAAACAATACACAAATTCTTGGCCGTTGAAATTTCATAAAACACTTTTTGCAAAACACAACACACAATTCTCTATGTAACACACAAAAATCTAACATGAATTAATATTATGGCAAAGGTGTTTGCAAATGTTTGCTTTTGAGATTTGTTTGTGATATTTTGAATGCAGTGCTTCATTTTGCAAGTGATGCGAGGCATTTTACATTTTGTGTGTGCAATTCTTGGATTTGTGTGTATAGTTTTGAAAATGTGTGCAAACAGTTGAAAAAAAAACCTGTAATTTACTTTATTTAACGAAAATGTACTCCAACTCACTCAGAAAGGCACATTAAGAAAAGTTGTGAGAAATCAAGATTTATATAAATGTGACAAAATATAATCCATGTACTTTCCCTTTCATGGGAACTTCGAACTGCGTCCTCTAGGGGTCGCTATGGGGAACGCCTCGTCGTGACCCGTGTCTGAAGCATACATTGAAAAAACACCAACTTGTTGGCCAGCGACAGCCATGACGTCACTACCGGTGCGACTATAGTTCCCTACTCAGGGAACCATGGTTACATAAGTAACCTTGAGACGTACTTCTCCGAGGTGATATTATCTGCTGTGTTTGCCGAAAGTTTGCAGCAAGTCAACAGTCAACGGTCATTCTGACCTATCTGACAACCGGAGTTCCAGTCCAGAGATATTCAACGCAGTAGAGACAACACAGCACATAATACTTTTTGTGTGGTTTTATTCGTCTTGATGTACAGTCAAGTGCAGAAGACTGATACTTGTGATACTTTTGAGACATTTTTATAAAACTCGATGCTGGTCACTATCCACTGCCTTTATAAGGACGAGCACGAGCAGATTCTCCTTTTGTGGTCCGAAAAACAAAGAAGGGCACTAGAACAACACCAAGTTGAGTAAATAATGACAGAATTTTCATTTTTGGATGAACAATCCCTTTAAAGTCTTCTTCACACTAAGAAAAACAAAAAACAGAGAACTATTGCAAACCATTTTGCAATAGCATCACTGTGAAATCCTCCTTTTGGAATCATTCTTTTTATAGTGTAGCACCCTTCTGCTGTAACACAGAAGCTAGTCCAGAACCAGACCAACATTCATCAGCATTAACTAGCCTGGACAAACGGGTCTCTCTAACAGAGATGTTTGGGACCATGCACGCACACAAACACAGACCTCACTTGGTGGGCGCAGTTGGTGAGCCAGACCGGTGGAAGTGGATGTTCTGCCATTTGCCATCACGACGGTGCCAGACACGCGTTTCTTCAGACTGCATGGTGCGAGGCATATTGTTGACATCCATGTATTGGGTGAGCCTTATATAAGCGATGCATGCAGCATCCTCACCGATCAGGTGTACATGAGGGTTCAGCAAGATGGTGTGGATGGGTTTGTGGCCTTTGGAGAGAGCTAGAGCAGAGGACAATAATACTTATGCTTGTGTCATTCAAGGCACTTTCACCCGTATTAAAACAATATGGATGCATTTAATTAAACTAAAGGACATATTTACTTTAGTCACAACACTTGTAAAATGCAGTCGATTTTATAAACTCATCTTCATATCACTCCAAACACATTTCACTATTTTCGTCTGTGGAACACAAAACTAGATTTTTTTTTTTTTTTTTATGAATATTTTTGAATACGCTTATCATTCATTTCTTTATAACAAAAGTGAGGACAGCCAAGCACCAAAATGGCACACACAAAAATTATAAACATATTAGTATATGATAGCTTTTTATGAGAAACAGTCCAAAAAATAGCTATTCACTGTTAACCTTCTCCAGTGTTGCTCTCACATCAAACTTGTCATATGAAGATACAATGTGCGAGGTCTGACATCAATAAAACCAACACTGTTTGTTCTCACATGTTGTGGCTGATGCTGTAGCTGATGTACAATCTGAACATTGCATTTTCACTCAAAAATACATGAATAAATTAAATAATAACTTATTAAGTTGTAAATCAAACAGATATGATTACAGTATGTTTTACAAAAAGTCTTTCTATTTCAAAATTTCACATTTACTATAATTCAAACACTATAATACTGTGATTACTGTAATTCACTTTATTTTTATTTGTGAAATTTACTAGCAAAAATTGTTTCAAAGTAAATCCTACAACAATATTTTTCACTGTTCTTGTGAACTTCAATTTGCACTAATCCTAGCATTAAGCTATAGCATGGCTTCAGAAGACTTGGAATATATGCTTTTTTTCATTGTTGGAGCTCAACAGCTCACTCACTTTCTTAGTATGAAAACATCAATTATTCCTTTAACATGTAACATCATGTCATGTCTTACAGTTTTCAAAGTAGAACCTGTGGAAATCTGTCCCCTCCACTAGGTTTCCCAAAGCTTCAGGTTCAAAAGATGTCAGTCCAGGGTCACAAATCTTCCTGTGGAATACAACATAAAATAAAAGCTAAAAGACATAATAAGGCATTCTTTAACAGAGTGAAGGCAAAATAATAATAAAAAAACTCACGTGTATGCGTCAAAATCTCCATTATTTATGGCTTCGATCAGCAGCTCTGTGACTTTAATTATCTCCTGTTTCCGTGCTGAACCACATAAAGAAAAAAAAAAAAAACAGTGAAGAACTGCGCAAAAAACTGTAATCATTATCCTTTAGCTGATGAACAGACCAGAATGAAATACATTCATTTTAAACCATAAAAGAGAGTGATGTTTGATTCTCATTGAATTGAAATCATTGGGCATTACCAAGTTTTTGGACATGTACCTTAGGCAGCATGTTTTGTTCATGTACCATATAGTATTTAAGCACCTTAAATAATATGAGCACAAAATATTATATGACAAATATGATAGTATACAACAAATATTTATCACATGAACATGGTTATCAAAGTTAATGGTGCAATATGTTTTTGAAAATAAAACATTTGGTATGCTTTTTTGAAAGACCATAAAAGAGAGTGATGTTTGATTCTCCAGTGAATGGCTCTTATGAGTCTGTTCTTTAAAATGAATCAAACAGATTCACAAATATGTCTGAAAGGGACTGGCCAGCTACCAATGTATATCAAATGTTCAATGTATGTTCAACTGTATCAATGTAAATCAAATGTTAACCCCTTAAACACTAAAGTTTAATTATGTGGAGAACTGTACTGCTTTATTTTATTGATCCAACATTTTTCCAAGCCAATGATATCTTGATGAACAGAAAAATGGACCCCAGGGACCTCATATTGTATAAAACTGGGTGTTGCATTTTTAGCTTGGCCAGTAAGAATGTGTATAGTACCATGTTAATTTATTAGCTTTTTATTGCTTCTTGTATTATAAAGCCGATAAAATAATCATTGTTAATAATTACAATTTACAACACAACACATCTGCTTGTTTAAGTCAAGTCACCATTATTTATAAAACGCTTTTTACAATGCAGATTGTGTCAAAGCAGCTTTACAGTATTAAACAAGGAAATAGTGTGTCAAAACAGTGTGCCGTTCTCCTCTGGCCAGACAAAACCAGCAATTTAATTCTAGGCTGCAACTACAGCCTAACTAACATAGAATATGAACTAGCAATGCCTGAAGTTACTAGCAATGCCTTCATTCTTTTGAGCCAGTTCTTCTCAATAAATGCATCATACAGTAAGCAAAAATATCCAAATTGGTCTGAATCACTTTACTCAGTAATAAATAATTTGCGGTAAAATAATACCACAATATATTATAAGGGAGAGAATATAAAGCACACATGGATAAAGTGGAGTATTTACTTAAAATCCACTGATAACAATATGCTGAAATTTATGCTATCATTTACAGTTACACAAAAGCACTTACCATTAAAATCATTGGGCATTACCAAGTTTATGGACATGTACCTTAGGCAGCATGTTTTGTTCATGTACCATATAGTATTTAAGCACCTTATATAATATGAGCACAAACTATTATATAATATGACAAATATGATAGTATACGACAAATATTTATCACATGAACATGGTTATCAAAGTTAATAGTGCAATATGTTTTTGAAAATAAAACATTTGGTATGCTTTTTTGAAAGACACATGGTTTTCTAGAAAAATCCCCCAACACCTGTCAGACCAGAGTTTAATACATCACTAGATACATCACTGTCACCCATTTACAAAAAAAGGGGGGTGTGAATGCAGATACTTTTGTTGTTTTTTGTTGGCAAAAACAAAACAGCATATTTGAATGTAGTTTAAATGTATTTAATACAATTAAAGAAGTGTATTAGTGCCTATGGAGGGATCTGAAAGAAATATCCCGGACAGTGCACAATAATTTGTTAAAAAATGCACTTGTAATGTGTATTTTTTTTTTCTTTTCTTTTTTTTTCTGGCTAATTTCTTAAATTAATAACAGTTATTTATAATCTGAAAGTCTCATAGTATAAATATAGCCCCTTAAAGTAGCTTAACGGTAGTACTGCTTTAACTTTTAATGTAGGCAAATAGAAAGTATGTTCTGGTGGTACTGCATATATTGCTTCTTGAGACAATTTACATAGTGTCAGAAGTGGTTAAATAAGGCAAAAGATCTCCGCCACATTAATCCTCTAATTTCTGATTAAATATCTTACAACCAGAGAAAATTTGAAAAAGAATGGCACATATATTGCAATTACAGTCTATCAGACAAATGGAAAATGGTGCTCCATCCCACAAACCAGCAACTTAAGCTCAAAGTTATGATTACCCACCCAAGTGAGCTGCAGAAGTGCAGTGCAATTCAAAAACTCCAGATTCAACTGGGTGAATGAACTGGACACATCTCTAGTTGCACCTGATGAAAATCAAGCGTAGCATTAGTTCTGGCAGGTCACGTTAGTCAAGCTCGCATCACTATTGTGAAAGTGGATGATGTCACTCAGAAAAGTGAAATATTAACAGCACTGCGACTAAAACATGGGTCTGGCAACTTAAAAAAAAAAAAGAAGGTTGACACAGGAGCTAAATGCAACATTACTGTATATCAACAAGTAAACCTCATTCTGTGATGAAAAAGTAAACCGGGGTACAGGAATTCAGTGACCTGTGTGACCACAATGCTTGGCAAACAGCCTGTTGTCTATCACGAGATCAGTGGCGCCCCCTGAATATGTGCCCTAGAAGTTACTCATTGCAATGAGAGAATAAATTATAGCTGAGCTTGAGAGAATGACTGTGGCTCTGTAAGGATATGTATAGACTCAAAAAGAAAGTTCTCGGGCAACATCATCCCCTGAAAACTGGTCAATGTTGACATGCAGGGTGCCAAGGTCTTCAGTATCCTTGACACAAAATGCAGATTTTGGCAAATCCCTTTAGATGATGCATTATTTAAAGGTGCACTAAGCAATATTTGAAAACGCTTTTGACGACAGTGTCGAACCGAGTCCCAAAACACACTTGCAGCCAATCAGCAGTAAGGGGCGTGTCTAGTAATGATAGAGAGAAGAGAGAGCTCAGTGAGTGCACTGGATGGATGTTAGAAGATCTCCTATAGATAGAGAGAGCTGTGTTGCTTTTTATTCTGCAAGGCCGTTTCCTGAAAAATAAATAAATAAAATAATAAAAATAAAAATCTGATCTATGATGTTATGAATAAAACCATTTTTTGATTACCCGAAATGTATTGGTGTTGTTCTCTTATTCGAATTATAAATGACATAACTAAACAAATTAATAATTAATTAGGTTAAGCTGTGCACTTGAATTTGTCATTGCATCATGCAGTGTGGTGAATTATTATTGCTCATCATTGTCTACAGGCTATTTTAGTAGTTTAAATAACATGATTTATCTTTAATATATTGATTAATGACATTGTATTGTAATATTACATCACCCAAATATGTATTTATTTCCTTCTGATTCTCGTTGTCAGTGCAGGCTTGTTTAGCTTACATTGACTGTTATGAAAAGCGATTAGTGTAGCCTGCATAAAAAGCCATGAACATAAAACAACAGGACAAAAATATATAAAAATATAGATGACTAGACATAATCATTTTATGACTCTAGACACTTCTTTGTGAAGACAGTGGCATAATACAGTGAAATATGTTCTTTAGCCATATCAAAACAGTAGTCATGAGTGTAGGTAAAATTTACCCGCTGGCGGTATACAGCGACCCCTGGCGGTTCTAGTTTAGTTTAGTTTCTTATATAGCACATTTCTACTGCCTTCAAGCAGCCGAAAGTGCTGTACAATGCATTCGTTTTAAAAGCGAGGTGGCAGTGTGAATGGCTAGAGTTAGATTATTCCATAGCAGAGGACCGGCAATCGAAAAGGCCCGATCACCTTTTCGCTTAAGTCAGGACCGTGGTACCTGGAGCAATCGTTTGTCAGCAGATCTGTTCTTTAGCCATATCAAAACAGTAGTCATGTGTGTAGGTAAAATTTACCCGCTGGCGGTATACAGCGACCCCTGGCGGTTCTAGTTTAGTTTAGTTTCTTATATAGCACATTTCTACTGCCTTCAAGCAGCCGAAAGTGCTGTACAATGCATTCAAGAAAACCAAACACATACAATAACAAACACAACATCTTAAAAAAAGAAAACAAACATTATGTCTCTCCTAAATCAGATACAGTGAAATAACAGTGAAATATGTTCTTTAGCCATATCAAAACAGTAGCCATGTGTGTAGGTAAAATTTACCCGCTGGCGGTATACAGCGACCCCTGGCGGTTCTAGTTTAGTTTAGTTTCTTATATAGCACATTTCTACTGCCTTCAAGCAGCCCAAAGTGCTGTACAATGCATTCAGTACCTGGAGCAATCATTTGTCAACAGATCTCAAGTTCTTAACAGTTTTATGTAAAGTAGACTTGTGCCGGTATTCGGTAATGCGATATATCACGGTAATGAATATGCACGATATTGTTATCGTGGGCACTTCTAAATACCGTGAATAATTATATATTACAAATTATTAAGAATTTTGAATGCATTTTAAAAATTTTATTGCATTTAAATGTTCAGTTATTTTTGTTATAAGAAAAAAGTTATTAAACCTGTTATACTGTATTATGACAGCACTTTTAAAAAAAACTAAATTTCAATATCGTGATAATACCGAATACCGTGATAAAAGCATGAGCAATTAATCGCAACATGAAAATTTGATACCGGCATATCCCTAATGTAAAGTAACAAGATCTGACAAATACAAAGGTGCGAGACCATTTAAAATTTTGAAAATTATTACTAAGGCCTTAAAATCGATCCGATATCTAACAGGTAACCAATGCAAGGATGCTTAACTGAAACTGAATCACTGAATTCAATGATGAACTGCCTTTAACTGAAAAATGAGTGTTTACTATTGTCATTTTGCATTATTGACACACTATTTTCCTAATTAATGCTGTACAGTTGCTTTGACACAATCTGTATTGTTAAAAGCGCTATATAAATAAAGGTGACTTGACTTGACTAAAATTGGAGTTGGAGTCAATAGACTGGCAGCAGAATTTTGAACAAGCTGTAATCGATTTACCAATGACTGAGAAATTCCTAAATACACAACATTACTATAATCCAATCTAGATTATATAAAAGCATGG